GAACAAGGAATACAATAATTGAAACATCAAATACATAAAATGTATGATTCATAATACAACAAAAAAGATCATTTCATTGGCTACCTTTGGAGGTTGCTAAGACACTAATTTATTATTCTGAAAACTGGTCAATAAAGGAACAGAATGATTCTAACTATATTAAAATATATTCATGTTTATATACAGAGAAAAGGGTCTCAAAGTTTTAATACCTCGAGGTTTTATTCATGATGATCTCTGGGTGGTAGGGTTAAGGTGGGATTTTTCTTTTTACCTAATTATAGTTTTAATTTTTTTTTACAATAAATATGTATTATCTCTGCACTAAAAGTTATTTTAGGGTTATAAAACAGTATGTGGCATATGAGATCATTTTTGTAAAAAGGAAAAATAATGTTTTCTGAATTGCTAGTAGTGATACCCTCTGGGTAGTGAGATTAAGGTAATTTTAATTTTCTTCTTTTGGTTTCTCTACGTTTAAAAAATCTTTGCTATAGTAAACATTAACTGCTTCTATTTTTAAAAAAAAAGGAAAAAGGAAAGCTGGCACAGTGACATGCCTGTAGTTGGGAGGCTGAGGTAGAAGCATCACCTGAGCCCAGAAGTGAGGCTGTAGTGTACTATGATCATGTCTATGAATAGCCACTGTACTCCAGGCTGGACAGCATAGGTGACCCTGTCTCTATTTAAGAAGGAGAGAGAAACAGAGAGACAGAGAGAGAAACAATAATATCCTTTAAAAATAATGAGAACATTTGAATGACACCTTAAAAACAAAAACAAACAAACAAAATAATAAAAACAATGAGAACAGAAAAGTAAGAAATCTGCAATATTCTAGGACTTTCCAGCGCAAGTGTTCTGGCCCACTGGCATGCATATCTGGTTCCTTTGGCTAATGTATACCTCAAATGGAAATGAGTGTTACTTCCCTCTTGTTGCGACCAACCATTAAGATCACTAACCAACCTCTAAATGACTTCCGGTGACGTAAGATCTTTGAACCCAAACATGGAACACAAAGAAAGTGATCTAAAACAAAAGCTATTAGTGAAGTTTTACAGGAGCCTCTTTAATGAAGTAGTCTACTCTGCCCTCTACTGGTGATGAAAATAACATCTACTTGGAAATGGAGACATTTCCATAAAGCAGCAAGTCTCAGTAGGCTATGGAGACCTGGCTTGCCAAGGGATTCCCAAGACCCTCTCAGGGGGTCTGCAAGGTCAAAGCCATTTCATAATGATACTAAGTCATGATGTGCCTTTACATTCTCAAGAGTGTACTGAGTATGAAAGATGTATTGTTATGAGTTCTGATTTTATATTGCAACAAACTTTTAAGATATTACCTCTTGCCTGGCGTGATGGCTCATGCCTGTAATCCCAGCACTTTGGGAGGCCGAGGCGGGCAGATCACCTGAGGTCGAGAGTTCAACATGGAGAACACTATCGCTACTAAAAAATGCAAAATAAACCGGGCATGGTGGCACATGCCTATAATTCCAGCTACTCAGGAGGCTGAGGCAGGAGAATCATTTGAATCTGGGAGAAGGAGGTTGTGGTAAGCCAAGATGGCACCATTACACTCCAGCCTGGGCAACAAGAGTGAAACTCTGTCTCAAAAAAAAAAAAAAAAAAAACCACCTCTTGTTGAATTCCTCTTCACTTTTTTCCCCCACACAATTCACACAGAAATTATCTTGTTAAGTTTTAGAACTGTACAAAAGGATAGAGATAATTATCTGAAAAGGTGATTGAACTTTCCTTCCTTTCCAACTACATATCTATGTGAGTCTAGGTTTTCTTCATGTACTTCAGTCAAAACCACCTATCATGACAGACTGGAGAAGCAGATACGAAAATCCAGCTGACTTCTCACTTGGGCATGGTGCCTCAAGTCTGTAATCCTAGCACTTTGGGAGGCTGAGGTGGGCAGATCACCTGAGGTCAGGAGTTTGAGACAGCCTGGCCAACATGGTAAAAGGGAGGCTGAGGCATGAGAACTGCTTGAATCTGGGAGGTGGGGGTTCCAGTGACTCAAGATCACGCCACTGCACTCCAGCCTGGGTGACAGAGTGAGACTCTGTCTCAAAAACAAAACAAAACAAAACAGGGTCTTACTCTGTCACCCAGGCTGGAGTGCACTAGTATAACCATGGCTCACTGCAGTCTAGACCTGGACCTCCGGGCTCAAGCAATCCTCCCATCTCAGCCTCCCCAGTAGCTGGAACCACAGGTGTGTAGTACAATGCCTGGCCAATTGTTTTTATTTTTTGCAGAAACAGAGTTTCACTATGTTGCCCAGTCTGGTCTCAAACTCCTGGGCTCCTGCCTAGGCCTCCCAAAGTGCTGGGATTACAGGTATGAGCCACCTCACCCAGCCACTATAGATATTTTAAATTCCCTCAGCAGCTAATAGGATCAAATAGCAGACAGATTAATATAATACATAACAGACTACATGTACAAAATAATATAATTTTACACACTAATTCTCTTTCAAATAGGAATGCTTGAATTTCTGTAACTTAAGTGAGTACATATACGTATATGTACTCCATCACATACTCATAGAGATTAGAGTCTTCTATAAATGAAGCTTAATATATGTTTCATGATAGATGATTACTTCCAGGATTTTTACTTATTTAAACTTGTTCTCAGTCATATTATAGATAGTTGCAGGCCAGACGTAGTGGCTCACACCTGTAATCCCAGCACTTTGGGAGGCCAAGACAGGCAGATCACATAAGGTCAGGAGTTTGAGACCAGCCTGACCAACATGGCGAAACCCCGTCTCTACTAAATATACAAAAAGTAGCTGAGCGAGGTGGCACACGCCTGTAATCCCAGCTACTCAGGAGGCTGAGGCAGGAGAACCACTTGAACCTGGGAAGCAGAAGTTGCAGTGAATGGCACTGCATTCCAGCCTGGTCAACAGAGTGAGACTCCGTCTCAAAAAAAAAAAAAAAAAAAAAGAGAGAGTTGCAGTTGCAAGATAAGTGATCTCTCGATTAGCAACTTAAAATTCTATTTTGCAGTCTGACTCTTGAGACAATGTAATATATTTACCATACTTTTAGTGGAAAGAACCTAAATTCAAGTATGACATTGGGTAATTTCCAATGTACCTGAACCTTGGTTCCTTCATCTAAAGAAATAGAACACAAGTAGTACTGATCCCAGGGGATGGTTATGAGGATTAAATAATGTATATGTAGGCCAGGTGTGGTGGCTCACACTTGTAATCCAAGCATTTCAGGAGGCCAAGGCAGCTGGATCACAAGATCAGGAATTCAAGACCAGGTTGGCCAAGATGGTGAAACCCCGTCTCTACTAAAAATACAAAAATTGGCCAGGTGCGGTGGCTCATGCCTGTAATCCAAGTACTTTAGAGGCCAAGGAGGGCGGATCACCTGAAATCGGGAGTTCAAGACCAGCCTGACCAACATGGTGAAACCCCATCTTTAAAAAAAACAAAAAATAGCCAGGCGTGGTGGCTCACGCCTGTAATCCCAGGACTTTGGGAGGCCGAGGCGGGAGGATCACAAGGTCAAGAGATTGAGACCATACTGGACAACATGGTGAAACCCCGTCTCTACTAAAAATACAAAAAATTAGCTGGGCATGGTGGCACGTGCCCGAGTAGCCTAACTACTCAGGAGGCTGAGGCAGGAGAATTGCCTGAACCCAGGAGGCGGAGGTTGCAGTGAGCCGAGATCGTGCCATTGGATCGTGAGCTGGATCGTTACCCACTCCAGCCTGGGTAACAAGGGCAAAACTCCATCTCAAAAAAAATAAAATAAAATAAAAAAATAAAAATACAAAAATTAGCCGGGTACAGTGGCAGGTGCCTGTAATCCCAGCTACTTGGGAGGCTGAGGCAGGAGAATTGCTTCAACCTGGGAGGTGGAAGTTGCAGTGAGCCAAGATCATGCCACTGCACTTTAGTCTGGGCAACAGAGCAAGGCTCTGTCTCAAATAAATAAATAAATTTTAAAAATGTAAACAGCCTACTATGGGACTGACACTCAGTAGGCACTCATTTACTAATATTAATAACCTGTGTTCACTTCCCACTGGTATGGTGTAATGTTTGCAGAAATTTTTGCAGTTTTGAGTATAAAATCTGAGACTAGGAAGTGATCCCCCTTGGCCTTTCGTGTGCCCTTGCTAAGTCTACAGATCACTTCCCCCAAATATACACCCCAATGATAAGTAGAGCTCTATCTCCTACGTCCTTTCCAAAAGCTCCAGATAACATCAGAGCCTCTACACTGAAGAATTTGTCTGATTCTGAGAGGGGAGTTCAGTAGATCTCGGGCCTAGGTCCATATTCTGCCCCTAATTTGACCAACTGATCTTGAATGGGTTACTTAATCTCTTCAGTGAGCCTCGGGTGTCCTCAGTCGTAAAAGGAATGGCAGCCTCAACCACTCCCAATGTCCCTTCAGATTCTAGATTGGGAAAAAACTGTCCACGCCCCACAAAGATTAAAAGCGACTGGAAACCCCTAAATACTCTCCCAAATCCATTTCAAATGTCACTGCTTCCAATTTCTGGGCTGCTTAGCATTTTTCACACATCTCAAGGATCCACACTGGTCCCTGTGCCCTCACGCGGCAGAGACCTCACACGTTCTACGTCGAGGGCGCCCGACCCTCTCAGGAGCTAGGTCCAGATACCCTTCCCAAGAGCGCACCAGTAAGGGCCGAATGAAATAACGCCCCCAAGGCGCCTGACAGAGCCCAGCACAACGCAAGTGCTCAAGAGATGTTGTCTACTATCAGCAGTCAACGGATCCAGCGCCCTCCTTGAGCCTCAGTTTCCTCACAGATGTAATGAGGACAGGCAGAGACACTGCTCAAAGCCCCCAGCAGCGGGCAGAGGGTCCCGGGGCGAGCCTAAGGGGCGCACGCTGCGGAAGGCAGGGCAGCCCCAGAAGCCAGGCGCCCCTTGAGAGTCCCGGGTCCAGCCCGGCGCCGAGATGCGTCCTCTCACCTCCCGGGCTCAGCAGCAGCTTCAATGCCTCCAAAATCCGATCCAAACTGCATATCTCCTGAGCCTCGTTGCCAACGGCCTGTCCCGAGGCCGCCATGACTGGAGTGGAACGCGACGTTCGCAACACCCTCAGGCGCCACGGCAGGACCCCGCCGCCGCCATGTTGAGTGTGGCAGAAGGCGCTGGGCGCACTATGGGGCGGGGCCCGCAACGTGGGGCGGGACCCGCATCGTGGGGCGGGGCCAAATCGGTCGCGAACGCCGCCTTCACATTTTTTTTCTGTCCCGGCTTAGTCCAGGGTGTCTGAGGGAACCCAAAAATGGTTAACACAGTCTACCCACGCACACAGTTACCGAAGCGCAATATGATTAACTGCTATGTAAAGAAGGAAGAAAGAAGTAATTTATCATAAAATAATCTATTTTTCAATATGAAAATACTCAGGTACTCAACACTCAGGTACTCAGGCAGACATAATGAAGCAGATACTTACATCTGCTTACAGTGAAATATGGATAAGAAAAACAATATTCAGACTGGGCGCGGTGGCTCACGCCTGTAATCCTAACACTTTGGGAGGCTGGCGGGTAGTTCACTTGAGATCAGGAGTTCGAGACCAGCCTGGCTAAAATTGTGAAACCCCGTCTCTACTAAAAATACAAAAACTAGCCAGGCGTGGTGGCAACCACACCCAGTGTCTCCATCCTGCACCATGAGGGCTGAACACTTAGACGTGTGGGCACCGCACCCACAGCCCTGCACATTCAGGCTCTGTCTACACCCACACCCCATCCCTTCCACAAAGCTGCTACCACTTGGCCCCTCTGGGCCTAGAACTGCACAGACGGGGAGCACAGTGCACCGTCTTGAGGGCAGACCAAGGGAAGAGTCCTGCGGAGTCCTAGAAGAAGGCCTGGGATGGTTGGGCAGGGAATTCCACAGCCTCAGAACCCAGAGTGTGGGCTGGGTGTGGTTGCTCATGCTTGTAATCCCAGCACTTTGGGAGGCTGAGGTGGGAGGATTGCTTTTGCCCAGGTGTTTGACACCAGGCTGGGCAAAATAGGGAGACCCTGTCTCTATAAAACAAATACAAAAATTAGCCAGGCCTGTTGGCATGTGCCTGTGGTCCAGCTACTTGAGAAGCTGAAGAGGGAGGATCCGCTGAGCCCAGGAGGTTGAGGCTACAGTGAGCCATGATTACACCACTACGCTCCAGCCTGACTGAGACCCTGTCTCAAACAAACAAACAAACAAACAAACAAAGAATACAGAGTGTGGTCTTGGAGGAGGGTGAGGACTTTGAGATTTGGGAATGGGCAAGTCCTCTAGGCTTGGCAGATTTCTTGCCGAGGAAGAGGGGCATGGCAGAGGAGGCCACGTGGAGCCTCTTGTGCACGAGCCCTGGGCCAGGAGCCTACCAAGCCTAAGTCTGAGGGCAGTACTGGTGTGGGATTCACAAAAGATGATTAGAGGATATTCAGAGCAGAATATCCTTTATCCCAGAGTATTATAGGACCTGGACATCCCTTTTGTTTTTATCCTGTAGGCTCTGTGGGCTGAGCCACCTCTAATTGTCATTCATAATTTCATGCCATAAGATCCCATACAACTTTTTTCACTGGGTGCATTTTAATATGTGTGGTAGAATGTTGGAGGAGTGCCTAGGGTCCACGAGGCTGTAGTGTAAGTTGGCCCTTGTCTGAAGAGGAGGAAACATTCTCAGTCTTCTCCCAGCCTCAAATCATTCAGATATGCTTTAAGTACCCTGTTTCCTTAGAATTTTGTATTTAAGTTTATGGAATTTCAGTTTATAGGACTTGAATTTGCTCTGGGCAGCTCTGTTAAAACAAAAGTATGGCCAGGTGTGGTGGTTCACACCTGTAATCCCAGTACTTTGGAAGGCTGAGGTGGGCAGATCACCTGAGGTCAGGAGTTTGAGACCAGCCTAACCAACAAGCTGAAATCTCGTCTCTACTAAAAATACAAACATTAGCTTGGTGTGGTGGGGCACGCCTGTAATCCCAGCTACTCCAGACGCTGAGGCAGGAGAATCGTTTGAACCCGGGAGGCAGAGGTTGCAGTGAACTAAGATTGCACCACCGCACTCTAGCTCAAATGACACAGCAAGTCTCCATCTCAAAACAAAACAAAACCCACAGAAATACAGCAGAGAGACCCGTGTAATATGCCATTAAACATCCCTTGTAACCAATACTCACAAAGGCTGCATCCCAGCAGGGGCTGGCTGCCCCTCTGCAAAAAAAAACAGATGGAGATGTACAAGACACGCACACAGAGATCTGTATTCATGTAAATGTTTCATTGCCTTGAAGTCAGCCAAGAAGGTGCCCATTTATCAGGAAGCTGGGGAAGAGCAACAGAACTAGTCACCAAAACAGGCTGATCAAAGCAGAGCCATTCCCATCTTGGCTCACTGCAACCTCCATCTCCAGGGTTTGTTGTTGTTGTTGTTGTTGTTTTGAGACGGGTTTCATTCTTGTTACCCAGGCTGAAGTGCAATGGTGCGATCTTGGCTCACCGCAACCTCTGCCTCCTGGGTTCAGGCAATTCTCCTGCCTCAGCCTCCTGAGTAGCTGGGATTACAGGCACGCGCCACCATGCCCAGCTAATTTTTTTGTATTTTTAGTAGAGACGGGGTTTCACCATGTTGACCAGGATGGTCTCTATCTCTTGACCTCGTGATCCACCTGCCTCGGCCTCCCAAAGTGCTGGGATTACAGGCTTGAGCCACTGCGCCCGGCCCACTTCCAGGGTTTAAGTGATTCTCCTGCCTCAGCCTCCCGAGTAGCTGGGACTACAGGCGTTTGCCTGCTGTTTGCCCAATCCAGAACCAGCAAGGCTAATGGCATCCAATACTTATCAATGGCTGTTTCACAGGAACAGAATTTCCATAAGAACCCCCACAAATTAAGGATTCTTGTGGGGAACTGTCTTTTAAAGCCATGTGTGATAACTGTCAGGCTGCACTCCATTTTCCGTAAGTCGCTCCTAAATTCTTACCCTACTCATCTCAAAGTGTCTGCTGATAACCGCATCTCACTCATCTCACAAGGAAGCAGGCACTGAAACTTGTTTCCTTTTTTTGGTTTTTAATGTTATACGTTTTAAAGAAACTTTATTTTTGTGCTTACACAATAGGTGTATATATTTATGGGGTACATGAGATATTTTGATACAGGCGTATGATGCACAATTATCAGGTCAGGGTCAATGTGTTTCATGTTTTTCATTTATTTTAAAAGAAAACTTTATTACCTCTCTCTTCAGCACCATTCGTATCCTTATTTACTTCAGCAACAGAAGCTCTTTACTGTCTCTGTTACTTGTCCTCTCCCCAAGGCCAGTTTACTATTCCTGCAAATAGATCCACCCTCACAGAACGCCACTTTGGATGACATCGTTCTCCTGCTCAAAATACTTCAGTGGGCCAGGTGCAGGGCCCATGCCTGTAATCCCAACACTCTGGGAGGCCAAGGCAGGAGGACTGCTTGAGTCCAGGAGTTCCAGATCAGCCTGGGCAATGTGATAAAACCCTGACTCTACAAAAAACACAAATATTAGGCAGGCATAGTGGTGCATGCCTATAGTCCCAACTACTCAGGAGGCTAAGGTGGGAGAATTGCCTGGACCCAGGAGATCAAGGCTGCAGTGAGTACTCCAGCCTGGGCGACAGAGTAAGACTCAGTCTCAAAAAAATTGTTTTAAACCCAAAACTTTAGTGTCATGGTTCTGACCCATTAAATCCAATCCAAATTGAAATGCTTGGTCTTTTCTCTTTTAACATATGTTTACTTAAATGATTCCCTCTATCCAAAACTCCCTTGCTCTGGTCCTCATTCAATAACAAAATTAAAGCTAACAATTAACAAAACACCCCGACAAGACAGGCATGCTTTTTTTTTTTTTGAGACGGAGTTTTGCTCTTGTTACCCAGGCTGGAGTGCAATGGCGCGATCTCGGCTCACCGCAACCTCCGCCTCCTGGGTTCAAGCAATTCTCCTGCCTCAGCCTCCTGAGTAGCTGGGATTACAGGCACGTGCCACCATGCCCAGCTAATTTTTTGTATTTTTAGTAGAGACGGGGTTTCACCATGTTGACCAGGATGGTCTCGATCTCTTGACCTCGTGATCCACCCGCCTCGGCCTCCCAAAGTGCTGGATTACAGGCTTGAGCCACCGCGCCTGGCCGACAGGCATGCTTCTAAATGCTTTGTACGTATCAATTCATTTAGTGCTGAAAACACTATAAATCAAATACACTTACCCTCTTCTTTTTTTTTTTTGAGGCAGTCTCGCTCTCTTGCCCAGGCTGGAATGCAGTGGTGCGATCTGGGCTCACTGCAGCCTCTGCCTCCTGGGTTCAAGCCATGCTCCTGCCTCAGCCTCCCAGATAGCTGGGACTACAGGCCATGCCACCACACTTGCTGAATTTTTGTATTTTTAGTAGAGATGGGGTTTCACTATGTTGGCCAGGCTGGTCTCAAACTGCTGACCTCAGGTGATCTGCCTGCCTCGGCCTCCCAAAGTGTAGATATTACAGGTATGAGCCACGACATCTGTCCCAGTTACCTTCATTTTAGAGATGAAGACACTGAGGCATAGAAAGGTCAAGTAACTTGTCAAGCTTACAGCTGGAAAGGACAGAATCAGGATTTGAACTCAGCACATCTCTAGTGCCTTGGCATCTAATGAACCAGCAAAAGGGAAAAAGGAGCTGTTTTCCAAGTCTGCTGTGCTTCCAGACCCTTGCTGGGGCCAACTGCCTTCACCATGGACTTTTTCAGAGATTAAAATTTTTGAGCCAGGTGCAGTGGCTCACGCCTGTAATCCCAGAACTTTGGGAGGCCAAAGCAGATGGATTGCCTGAGGTCAGGAGTTCAAGACCAACCTGGCCAACATAATGAAACCCCACCTCTACTAAAAATATAAAAAATTAGCTGGGCGTGGTGGGTGGGAGCCTGTAATCCCAGCTACTAGGGAGGCTGAGGCAGGAGAATCGCTTGAACCCCGGAGGCAGAGGTTGCAGTGATCTGAGATCAAGCCACTGCACTCCAGCCTGGGCAACAAGAGAGAAACTCCATCTCAAAAAAAAAAAAAAAAAAAAAAAAAAAATTTCAGCCTGGGCAACAAGGTGAAACCCCATCTCTGTAAAAAATA